ATGATTAGTGGGCCACAATTGTCCTATTTCGTGTTTGTTAGGCTTTATTCATATTCACGTAAACATCAAACGGGAAGTAATAAATGTTATTCAAATTCATTGGGTAATAATTGGGATTTAGTGAGAATTATCGGTTGGTACCAACGAGTGTCGGTCGTAGCCTGTAGTTATAATCAGAGTCTCCTGGAGGGAGAGCGAGAGTTTGTGTATAGATCTATACGGGGGTGACTCCCCCACACCTGAGCTGTTCGCTACAGTTAGACTCGGCGAGTCTAGGGTGACAAAATCTTGATCAAAACCGGCGTTTGGAAAAAAATGCCAAGACAGGCAAAATAGTCATTATTATGCATGGTTATAACGACTCACATAAAGATCCATTACCATATCATCATTCATGAGTAACCATATTCATACACTGTGATGATGCAAAGTGATTCATACAATAATACGATACTATCATACTATTTGAATTGGAAAACATCGGGTTTTCCGGGGAACGACATTATTCACTTTTTACATACAACAACTACAATACAAAGAATAATTATGATGAACATTCACTTTTACATGTTTTGAAATTACATACATATACACTTATGGGATCATCACATCTTTTTCGTAAACAGTTTTTGTTTCAGAAAATATCGGATTTTCTGGGTTTTACAAGCGATACAAAAACATCTTTACATCAAACCTTCTTATGAACTCACCAACATTATATATTTTGACCGTTTTCAAAATAACTTGTGTTCTCAGGTAATCGTTAGAATGAAGAATTACCAAGCGTGTTTCTGAACTTCTTTTGTGTGATGTCAGCTGATAAACAATTTATGTGCTGGATTATGTAATGTAAACAATGTACTTGATGTGAACAATGACGGTTGTAATGTATTAATTCATGGTGATGTTTATGTTATGTTTCATGTATATTCATTGTGATGATATTTCAATTTAAGTCAGACGAGCCCTCGGACGTTTCCGCCGTCTGGTTCGGTGGTGTGACAATACCCAACGAACAAAACATTTGAAATATAAATACATGAAAAGATCATGTTAACACAAAAGGTGACTAAGAAAAAAAAACAATTAGAATATATAAACCATCTTCGTGCGGGAACAATAAGTAGGAAGAAGACCCTCCAAGGTTAAATAAATCATTAATATAAAGTATATGAAGAAGTGTGAACTTGTTCAACCATTTTGATAGAATGTAATCCTCGAACCACCAATTTTTAATCGAAAAAAGACTCCAAAAACATAAAATACACCAAATTAAAGAATTATTCTAACATAATATTACTTAGAGTCTAATAGCTATCAAGAAACATGTTTATTCTGCAAGAATGATTCTGTAAAAATTCTCCAAGAATGGTTTTCAATATTCTTAAAGAATTTGTATCAGTTTTGACACCATACGAATTCTGTCAAAATAATGATGGAAAAAATTAATAATTCCTTTTATTTAAAAAAAACTACAACATGGATTTGTATTAAAAAACATACGAAGATAAAAAAGAATCCACGAATAGAATCAATATTACAACTAAAATCCCTAATTAAATTCAAATGCAAGAACAAAAATATGAGTAAAATATCAAACTAACCTTGATAATCGTAATGTTGGGTTCTTGAATTGCCACGACCAATATTCGATTACATCAAATGCATAGCAACGTTTTGCTAATTTTCCAAAACGTTTAAAATTTTAAACCATTTTCAACAAACACCAAAACTATAGAATCATATTTTTCCAAATCAAAAACTCAATAATCAAAATTACCTGTAATATAAGAAAACCCAATTGAGCATGTATGTTTGTGCGATAGAGTTTTAGAGGGTAGCGAGAACGGTGGTGAAATTTGAGCGATTAACGACGGCAAGTGGAGGACCGACGGAAACGAGGCCGCGACGAAGGGTTGTTGTAGACGATGATTCTTAGAGAAAATGGGGAATCAGTGGTGGTGCTATAGGTTTGCTAAATCGATGGTCTCATTTAAGGGATTTGATCCATGAATCAAGGGATTTAATTTTGGTTATTATTTACTTTATATGCAAAATTACATATCTAGCCTTATTTTGATTATTTAAGTATTTATTTTTTACTGAATTCCTATTGGTGCATTCATGCACACAATAGTTGTCAAAAATATTTGAACCTATCTCTCTCTCTCTCTCTCTCTCTATATATATATATATATATATATATATATATATATATATATATGATATCAGGAGAGAATGACAACTACTTTTAACATTCTTGAAGTTCTGAAGAGTTAATAATTCAATCAAGTATCGATTTCAAACAGATTGATGAATACAAGAAGTAGATAAATCTGTTTAAACTCTCATTATCTGGAAAGCAAGCATAGTTACAAGTGTGAAAAAATGAATTCCGAAAAGCATTACCGTAACTATGTTGCAGCACTATTTATAGTTCTATCAACATATACAAAATATACAAGGAGACTTTGACATTAAGCACACAAACAATACGTTCCTAGAAATACATAGATATATTGAAGTTGTGTAAACCTCGAAATAGACTGCTACACTACCATTGACATTACAATACAAGACTTTGCATAAGAATAACTTCAGAACTTTTGAACTCTACATTCTACCCTTTGCGAAGATTATTCAAGTCTTTAAACTGTTGGTAGTGACTTCACCGCTTCCATGATTTTCTTCCTTATCTCCAAGTACCAACAAATATGCTTGCGAATCTTGAGTCTTTCAGCATCAGAGTTCTTTCTGCAATTCATAATTCAAAATAGAAGACTTGTTAAGTTTTTTGTAAAATACATATCCTTCACGTTTGTGTAAAAGAAATGCTTCTTTTGTTTTCCCTTGATCTTATTCCTTTGAAAAATAACTCCTAAAGGCTTCAAGGGTATCTCCCCATCATCATACTGCTCCAAATTCACATTAGCAATTGTAGTCTTTGGATTCCTCTCAGGTTTATTGTATGCCTTCGCTATCTCAAATTCAGATAGACCAAGATGTGCTAAATAAAAGTCAATGTAATTCTTGATATAGGCATATCCAATCAAATAAACCTTTTTTTTTCAGTAACATATTTATCATCCAACGACTTGATCATATTAGCGAATGTGATCAAATCATTACGATTCATCAATGGGAAGTCAGCAATAGTGAACTTACATACACTATTTCCAGCTCTTATGACCTTGTAGTGATAGTTCTGTAGTCTTTCTTCAAACAGAACATCCTTCGATATTGAGAGTAACTTGATTATCTTCTTCAAAGACCATACCACTTCTTCATTTTGCCTCAAAATGGAATGAAATATCATCTTCATAAACTTCAAATTTTCATCTTCATGAAAATTATCAGCAAGCTTGAACTAAATAAAAGTGAACATAATTGGGATAAAAGGAAAATCCAATTTCAACACTGGAGAGTTTTTAGTTGTGAAGCTTTGTTTTGGCAATTTGTCAAAAACATATAATTCTCCATATGCTACTGACTCTATAGTCTCGTAATTCCATAACTTGTTCGCATCCCCTTTATTCAATCTTGGAGGATCATTCACCCTTTGTCTCATGAAACTACTTAGGTGACATAGTTTCTCAGCTTCCAACTCTTTCATTCTCTTCTTCTCTTCCCTTGTTGGCTCAAGACCTTTGCCTTTGTCTTTAATTGGATCACCAACAGGTTTAACAATCGAAGAGCTTCTTCCTTCCTTAGTTACCAAACTATTCTTTTTTTAAAAAAAAAAACTGTGCGACATCAAATTCAACGTGAGGAGTCACCACTGCACTCGAAGTCGTTGTTGTTGTTTGAACTGGCTTTATTGGAATTGGAATTGGAATTTGTTGAGTAAAGATCTTCCCTACCACTTTGCCTTTATCTTCTGCACCTTTAATCTTCGACGAACCACCCTTGTCTCCCCATTGTGACACATGCAAAGCACATGGAGCATTTATGGGTAGAAAAAGAACAATATCCAAAATAGGAGCAAGTTGAGTCTTGAAACAGGCTTCAATTGAATATACAGCTTTGTTGACATGCTCAATATATATCGAAGTTCCAGAAGTAGTAGCAACCTTCGATATTTGCTCCTAGAAAGTAGTTAGAGAATGCTCAAAACCATTAAACAATGTTTCATCACCTACATTCTTTTTCTCTAGTGTTATGTTGTATTCCACTTTAAATGCATGAACATCTTCAACGAAAGTTTGTGAAGCACCTAACAGACAATCAACATTCTTTTGGACTCCAAGGAACAGTCCATCAATCTTCTTAACTTCAGCATTGAGCAAGTCATAAAATTCTTTGATTTAAAGTTCAACAGACTGCTTGACCTCGGAAAGGTACTTCTCAACTATCTCATATCACTCCCTCGTAACATTGAAAACTTCAGTAAGATCCAACTAGACTGTTTTCAAACTATTATCCATCTTCTCATGGAGTTCAATTATTGCTCCTTGCACCATATTCTTCACCTTTGATTCATGATATTTTAACAAAGATACCACTTCGTCATTGCTAACAGATGAAAAAGTATCCCTAGTGAAATCATTAATGAACTGAAGAATCATTTTCATATTCAAGTTAAGAGTCTTGTATTGCTTCTCTAACATTAAAACTTCATCAACTATATCTTCCTCATCAGGATCAAAAGTTAGCTCTCCATAACCAAAACCTTCATTATTATCTTCTTCCATAGTCCGAGGACTATCCTTTCCTTGATCTGTAGACTAAGAAGAAAACAAAATAGTAATTGGTTGAGTATGAATACCAGCATACATTGGAGAATGTTGCGAATTGTACAACGAGACTTTGAGACGTAAATCTGATGATGGATGGACTATCAAAGTGTCAATTGCAGACTTCTCACCCATGTTGACATTTGATTCCACACTAGATGTGTTCTCAGGGATGCCTGAAGTTCTACCCTCATCTGGAATGGACTTGGAAATAGGAACCCCGGGTGGTATGACAGTTGTTGTAGTTATTGTAGATTGGGGAAGAGATTACGAAGATGTTTCAGCATTTGTAATGTTTGTGTCCACATCAGATGTGTTCACAGTGACATCTGGATTGGGTATCTCCTTCGCATTATATTCGACAGTGGCAATCTTTCGTGGTGAAACAGGTGGAGTATCATTGACAAATACATCATTGGACATATAATCCACATCATCTGCATTCACATGACGACTGTATTGTAAAAATGCTCCCTTAGATAAATCCATATCCTCAGTATCAGTTGCTTTATCATCATCAGGATTACCAAGGACAGTGACTTTGACTATCTGCTTCTTCTTTCTTATTGGCATATTAACTTGCTTCTTGCCATTCAAAGTCTTTAACACTCCAACAACCTTTCACTTTTTTTGTTGTGCTCATCAACATAGGGTTCTGTAATCACAACATTTCCCTTAGATTTGGACTTTGTCTTCTTGGGTGTAGGTAGCTTTGGAACTACGCTAAGCATTTCACGATATCGAATTCGAATAGGATTCGATAGTGGTACCAACTCGAGCATCACCTTTGGTATCCTTCCAATAACAGGAAACACCTTAGGATCATCAATCAATTTTTTTGGAATTTGGAGATGAGAAAACACAACAACTTCCTCTCCTTCTGGAACCTGAATCCCAACTTGATGATAAGCTTCGATAAGTATCAAACTCCAAAATCTGGCACTAGCGATCTTAGGAGCTTTCTTCGAGTGATTGAAATATGAAGTAAATTCCTCCCATAGAAAATAAGCATAATCTACTTTCATATGAAAATACAAGCCTGCTAGAAGAGAATAAAACTGAAGTTTTGCCCTATCTAACCCAAAGTTTTATCTAGTTAGACAGAAAATGATCACTCCAAAAGGAAACACCATAGGGATGGTAAGTTAGACTTTCGAAAAGCACCGATTAGCGTAATCGGAGGATTACACCCCATTTCATTCAACATTGAAAGAACTTGATCAGGTGTCATAGTTTCAAACGGACCACCAGATTCAAGATGGAGAATCTGAGTAAAATATTTTTTCGTGAGATTCCTCTTGCTTTTCGTTTCCATCTGAAACGTAATTAATTCACGATCCTTGATGTAAACCGTAGTAGAACAAGCCAAGGATAACCAATTTATTGGAATGGCAAAAGAAGCAGTTAATGTGTGAGGTAAAACAGATGAATTGAAACATTCAACAAGCGTCTATAATTCTTCTGGATAAGCGCCGATAATTGGATTAAACCATATGTTATTTGATTGGATCTTCATTTGTGGAATGGAACTCTCTTCTTCGGTGGTATTAAACTGGTCGACGTTAGACATGATGATTAGAGGTAAGACTTTTGTAGAGAAACTGATCGATTTAGGGTTAGTGTTCTTGAGAGAAAGACGGAGATCAGAAAAACTAATAAGGAACCGTCGAAACCATTTTTATAAATGGCAAAAATTTGAATTTGAAACGTCCACTAATAATGTTCTGCTACATGGAAAGGTGAAAATTGAAGAGACATCGTCATTATCTGTCACATGTAAAAGCCATGAGTGTTTGCCTCGATCAAAGAGAAAGCAACAATCATCAGCCACCTACTACGTCAACGGTAACTTCGCATATTCCTCAAATTGAAAACTTCAAACATTAGTATCAAACATGTAACCAACTTCGATACTAACCAAGGCTAAAGTTTGGTCTCATCCACTTATGGGTATTGTAAGTGAAATCATAAACCAGACCTTGCAAAATCTTGGTCTAGGTTGGTAGTACCCAAAACCTCAAGGATTTCAGCGCCAACGTGTATCCAAAGAAAAAGATAGAATCAAATATAAGAAAATTTGATATAAAGGCAGTAAGATCCCAAGCAAAGATTCTCTTCCTACAACATCAAGAGAGATGTCATAGTGCTTGTGTGGGTTCTCATGAATTACAATCGAATACTTATAAAGAAGTATCGAAGGGCCTCTTTTAGTTAGTATCAAAGGTAGGAATTATTTTCAAATATGTTAGCAACTTAACATAAGAGCAAAACAATGTAAGAAAATTCTTGAGTGATCAGTGTAATCAACATTAAGTAAGCATTGGTAAGATTTTAAAAAGACTAAAGATACGAAAAATTGTTCAAATGGAAATCTCATTTCACGAAAAATAAAGAATTGGATCTAATTTTTGTAGAAATGAATTGGGATTAGTTAACATCACTAAGATCACACAAAATAATGAAAGTGGGATTTTGAACATTACAAATAGCACATTGAAACATGAAAGTTTTATCCCTCAATTCCTTTGTAAAAACTCTAGAACAATAAATTATTCACAATCAATTCCTTAAAATGTGTTGTTTTGTGGGTCTCACTATCATTATGGTTAAAATGATTTCTAGATCATCAACATAGAGTTTTGGCACACCTACATCCTAGTTGTTTCAGACTAGAGATGTCTTGGGCTATGCGTCATAGTGTGTGCTAGTGTAAAAAGTATGATATAAGATTATAGACAACGAGTCTTTAACAAACTTATGGTGACAATAAGTATGCTCATCAAGAAATTTTTTGAATAACCATAATTCCAAGTTGGTTCTGACCCGCAATGTCAAGGGTTAAACAAAAATCATGGTTAAAGATTCCGTCAATTCAGTAGTTTCAGACTGGGAGCAACCATTCCACACAACAAAACAAAAGTATTTTTGAGATTTTTTCATTTTTGAAAGAAAAACAAAAATAACTAAAATCTTTTTGGTATATTTAATTTTTAAACAAAATTTAAAAATAAAGAAAATTTTCTGGACTTTTAAATTTTTTACTAAAGGACAGAAATAAAGAAAATCTTTTTGTGATTTTTGTTTTTGCAAAAAAAAAACGTAATACCATAACCTCGATAGTAAGCCAACAACTCTGAATGGTTTAGCGGATATTGAAAAAGCGAAGATCTACAAAGTGTTGAATATGAACAATAATTTCTGAATAATTTAATGATACTATCGAAGTTACTTGTATATTAACATCTGCATTCATAAACAACGTCAATATTAATATCAAAATCTTTAGCTTTATTTTGGTACAAAATGACACGTCCCATAAATAAGACCCAAAAATTTCATTATTAAATTAATAAACTAGTATTCCAAAAACATTGTCACACAATTCCAGATAAACAAATGTATCAATCATCATGACATATTAGAGTAAATCAAGAAAATGCGGAACGAGGTGGTGTGTGCCCCTGCAATCATTCCGAGCTCTTCTCTTTGGAACCAGAAGTACCTGAAACATAAACTGAAAACCGTAAGCACAAGGCTTAGTGAGTATCCTAAACTACCCCGTACAATACATAATAAATCACATACTGGGCCCTCGCTCTCCATCGGACCCCACCCGGTATTGAGTCCCACTCGGCTTTGGTGTGACATCCCCAATTTCACGGCCAGAAAAGACCGATTGGTTTATGCTTTGTTTTAAAATCAGAGTAATCTTTTAAAGAAAACTGTTGCGGAATTTGTTCCCAAAGAAAATATGATAAAACTTTATCAAAACATTTCTCAAAGAGAATGTACTTTTCATTAAATAATAAAACCTCGGGATGTCATGTTCCGATACAGACCAAAAAGCATAAACAGTACAATTTAACATTACAACAGTTATTTACAACTACTGGTCTATAATCCAGAATCTCTCGTCAAGTCAACCAACTTATACTCTTGTGCCTTTACCTGTAATGCAAAGAAAACTGAGTGGGTCAGGCTTGGGAGCCTGGTGAGCATATAGGGTTTTCGACCCACAATAATATATTTATTATATTCAATCATTAATCAATCCAAAACACTCATCCCCATTATCTCTTTTATTTCTTAAGGATTTACCCTAAAAATCAACTATCCTTTTTCCATTTATTCCTAAGGATTGACCTAAGGAATTGACACAAAGTCCACCACTGCCCAGGTCCTCAAATTACAACCGGTAAACACTTAGTTCAACCTACTTAGTGAATACCTAGTTCTAACACTCCTAGTGAACACTTAATTCAAAACATCTGGTGAACACATCTAGTTCAAAAATACTTAATGAACACAATCCTCTAATGAACACATAGTTCAAAAACACCTGATAAACACATGGTTCAAAACATCCATTAAACACTCAGTTCGAAAATACCTGATGAACACATAAGTTCAAAACATCTGGTGAACACTTAGTTCAAAATACTTAATGAACACCTAGTTCAAAAACAACTAGTGAACACTTAGTTCAAAATGCTTAATGAACACCTAGTTCAAAAACAATGTGATAATAATGTATATCTAAATCCAGCAAGACCACTATTATTAATTAACATATATATATATATATATATATATATATATATATATATATATATATATATATATATATATACACATCATATTTTCTAAAACAATCTATCCCATCCTGTCGATCCCCAAATACTGACCCTACACAATGATCTTATGAGATCTAGTCTAAGGAATCGATAAGAACAACGAACTGATGAAGCTGCTTCGGAAATTCCCTGGCAGGAAACGAGGATCAATAAAGACATCAATGAGGGGAATGGAATAAGTTTCACCACGAACCTTCGTTCGTAAAAGAAAGAACCACAAGACAATTAAGTCAGGGGTAGTTATCTAGATAAAAATGCCTAGCCGTGGTCCGAATATCGTGAGGTATTTTACCTCCAGACTCACCCTATCCAGCATCGAACTTTGCCTAGCAGTGGTCTGAATATCGTGAGGTATTTTACCCCCAGACTCACCCTATCCAGCAATATAACACAAGACATACCTATTAGTGGTCTATTACCGACACACTTTATTAGGCAGTCTATACCCCCAGACTCACCCTATCCAGCAATATATAACACAAGACATACCTATTAGTGGTCTATTACCGACACACTTTATTAGGCAGTCTACGAAGTTCCCTCAATTACTTCGTGAAAAGAAACGCTGACATATGAAGCTCGTTCGATCACTTCATAAAAGAAAGAAACGATGACTCCAAAGCTCTTTCAAAATAAAAGTATGGGGAAATACTAATAGAGTACTCCCGTACGCTCCCGTAACCGACACGCAATAGTGTCAAAAATACTTTGTACATGATAGTACTTCTGGCACATTATAGTACTCTGGTATGCGTAGGACTCGTACCCGAGAACATAATAATACCTCGGCGCAAGCAGCACCAAAGACACATGGCTTTGAAAAGGATTTCGTACATAAAATGTACTTTTGTACGTAAGACGTACTCCACCGCTCATCGATCTCACCACACACGTACTCTTAATAAGAGGCTACCCAATGTCCAAACTTAATTGAACTAA